CATCACCCCATAAAAATCCGCATTGTATTGTTTCCACCTTTTTTACAACCTTGGATGGAATAGCTAACACCGAAAGATAATAAATCGGTAAATTAGCTGAAGTACCTTTAATTAGCGTCAATCTTCCACCATTTGACAGAAAATTCCTCTTCCAGCCCGCCAGTCTCCTCTCAAAAATCTCCACGACTGTATCCCAAGTTCTAGGGTCTTTATATTTTGCCCCCAAAAGGAAGACCAAGGTATTTCAAAGGCAAATCACCCACTCTACAACCCAGCACATCTGCCAACTGTCTCTCCTCTCTCCTATCCCCAATTTTTACCAATTCCGACTTTGCCATATTAATTTTTAATCCTGAAACCATTTGAAAGCACAGAAGTATACATCGAAGATGAAGCATGGTCTCAATACTTGATTGACAAAAAATGATAGCATCATCCGGAAAAAACAAATGCGATACCTCAATTTTAGCATTCTTTTTGCCAACCAATACCCTTTTTACCATATTAAGTTCCTTAGCCCTTTCCAACAATCTACTAAAAGCTTCCATGACGATAATAAACAACAACGGAGACAGTGGATTACCCTGTCTTATTCCACGGGAAGCCTTAAAAAAGGAAGAAGCTCCCCCATTAACCATCACAGCAAACAAAGTGGTGGAAATGCACTGTTTTGTCCAATTTCCTCCACCGATCTCCAAAACCCAATCTGCCCAACATATAGTCCACAAAATTCCAATTTACATGATCATAAGCTTTTTCCATATCAAGTTTGCACAATATACCTTCCCTTTTGTTACTTACCAATTCATCAACCACTTCATTTGCCACCAAAACAGCATCAAGAATCTGCCTACCTTCAACAAAAGCATTTTAACTCTCTCCAATCACTTTCCCAAGCACCTTTGCCAATAGTTTATATCACAAGACTAAAAGGCCTATAGTCATTTATACTTTTTGCCCCATCAACTTTTGCAATCAAGGAAATAAATGTAGAGTTTAACACTTTGACAAAGGACCCTGAATCATAAGTACGTCCCAAAATTCCTGAAGAAACCTCATGTTAAATCCATCCGGTCCTGGAGCCTTATCTCCATTACACAAACAAAGTGCCTCATGGATTTCCTCCACTGTAAACCTTTGTTCAACATACCTTCTATTTTCCTCATCCAGAGTACTGAATTGAAGGTTATTCAACCCTGGTCTCCATCTAACATCTTCCTTATACAGTTGTTCAAACTGGTCTTTTGCATGCTCTCTCATCTCCCAATTTCCTATTATAATTCTCTCATTGCATACGAATTTTGCAATATAATTTCTTCTTCTGTAATTTGCTAACCCACGGAAATATCTTGTATTCCGGTCTCCCTCTTTTAACCACTTTTCTCTAGACTTTTAACGCCATGAAATTGCCTCAAGATTCAGTTTGTAAGCAACGTTCCTCCTCAATTCCTCTCTTTCAATTCTGTCCTCCTCCCCAACAGTACCGCACTCCTCAAGTTTATCAATTTCAGAAATGCCCATTAACCACTTTTTGAACTCCATATCCAATCTCATATCCTCATCTCTGGCCCATATTTTTATTTCACTTTTAACAGCCTTCAATTTTTCCGAAAATACAAAGCTAGCCTTTCCCTGCACCCCATTCTTCTCCCATACTTCTTTTATCAATTTCCTGCATGTCCCAACTTTTACCACTTGTCAAATCTAAATGGTACGGGGCCCCATTTAATTCCATCTGAGGAAAGACAGGTTGGAAAATGATATGAGATTGGTCTTTCCAGCACTGACTGTTTTGCCCCAGCAATCTTCAACAAAAAAAAAATTGTCTGAAATGAAAAACCTGTCAATTCTTCAACATGATGGATTGCATCACATATTAGTCCATGTCCACTGCCCCCCCCAAAATCAAAGGTAAATCTACCAGATTAAGACTGATGCCTAACATATGGAAGATTAATACGGGGAAATGCGAGCTTGTTTCTCTCTGGGGTGGTGTGGATGCACCAAGCATAATGAGAGTAAGGTCCCATCTTTACCTATGAAATAACTGGGCTTCATGCTGGGTGCAAAGTTTAAAGAGAAATTTGTTTGGGATGTAGCTCAATTTAAGAGAAGACTTATGAGTTTGAAGTGGGGCTTCTTGTCCAAGGCCAGCAGACTTACTTTTGTTAAGATTATTCTTCCCGGTTTGCCTCTAGTTGGCGGCTTGGAATGTGGTTAAACAATCCAGCATAAGTTGGCCTTGGCATCAAGTCCTTGCATGATTGAACAAGTGCTTTGGATAAGTAGTTGTGGAATTTCATGGCTTCATGAAGTCGTGGTAAGATGATTAGGTCAAAGTTTGGCTGAATAATTGTGGGTGGAGGTGAAACCACCCTAAAGGCCAGTGTTTGAAGGAGGATTGGTAGTACTTAGGAGGTTATTGTTGACAACACTAATATCAAGGTGTAATCCAGATCGAGAGCTAGGATTTCTGAGTTATGTCTAGTATGGAAATACTTCTCTTGAGGACAAATTTCAAAGTACTTCCTGCTTGGTTAGAAGAAAAGGAGCCTTTGTGCCTAAATGTTATCCAATCACTGCAAGGTAAGTGGTCTAGAAAGTGGATCCTGTTGAGGAACTTGAATGATTGGGAAGATGAATATATCAGGCTACTTGGCTAACTTGCTTCCACCAAATTCATCCTCTTCAAGAAGATGGTCCCATTTAAAACCTTAACTTGAAAGCTTCTTCTCAGCAAAGCCTTTATTACCATACAAGCTCCTCCTGTCCTTCTATATAAGCAAATATGGACGAAGAATTTCTTCCCCCATGTGGTTTTTTTCATGTGGGAGGAGCAGTGAAGATAACCTCGTTAATAAAGGTAAAATTCTTGCAGATACACTCTTTTGGTGTAAAGCAGCTGAAACCAGATGCCCTACTGTGTTGAGGAGTTATTTCACCCAAGGTTATGGTGTATGGTTTTTGACTTCTCCAAAGTGCAATATGTGATGGCAGATTCTTTGAAGGATGAGATATGGGCTTGACATGGCACCTGGGGGGATAAGAGCAGGGAAAGCTAATCTCTCTCATCCCCTTGGCAACCATTTACACTCATTTGGAAGTAGACCAACAAGAGGGCATTGGGGGAAGTTCTTAAATTTGTTGACAAAGTTAGAGACATTTGGTTCCCGAACTTTTTTTTTCTTTTTGGTTATTTTTTAAGGGCAATCTGGTTAATAAGGCAGAAGACTTAGGGAACTCATTGATAATCTGAACAGTTCCTAAATTCTTCTTTCATATTTGGGTTGCACCCCCCTGGTGCCACCCATTTATATACACCCTATATTTTTCCTATTAAAGAAGACTATAATTTTATGGGAATGGTTCAAATAACAAGAAAAACTATAAATGACAACATAAGATTCAAATATGCACTATATTCATTTGCATGCATGAGGTAAACACGTCCTCTAAAAATAAATAACTCAAATATATTGGACATCAATAGTCGGTGGCAGCCATCACAGATCATATGCATGTGTCTCATATAAAGACCAAGAAACTTACTTTAAGTCGCTATCCGTTAGCGAGTTTCCCCCTTCTTGTGTACACAGTTTCTTTCTTGTGCGCATGAAATTGTGAACTTCTTCAGACCAGCCACATGATTGCAAAACCAAATATGCTTCTTTCTGGAGGCTGTTATTTATGGGAAAGGCAGAATGGGAAAAACGAACAAATCAATGAAAAGTTTCAACTGATTGGAATATAATAATGGAAAAATGACGTGGCCAATAATCCAAGCGATATTAACTCAAGAAAATGGATAGCTTTCACTAAATAAAAAAACATATATCAACAAGAAAAAATCTTATGCAGGTATTCAGTTCACGTCCCAAAATTCAAAAGCAGGAGAAGCATCAGATGCACATGTTCCACTGTTCCATCAGAACTGACTGCTTTTCTTATTCTCTTTTCCTTCATTTTTCTTCTAATTTTTTTAGCTTGGATATTGATTGTGCATATTCTATAATGACATCCACATAATATCCTGAAGATCATCTTATTATCTAAATCAGGCCATCATAATCAGGAAGGAATATAACATGAGGGAACAGTTATTCAAGGCCTTAGTTACTCTGACAACATCAAAAGTTTTATTTGATTATCAGTGACAAACTCTGGCTAGCTCCCTTCCAAAACACATGGGAATAAGGATGTACAAGAGATCAGTTCCAGAGATTAGTTCAGGTCAACAGAGGTCAGTTCTTCAATGTTAGACATATCAGCACATATTTCAATAGCAACTGAGTTGAATGTAACATACATCTCTTTCAGTACTTTCCGTTTCTCCTGAGATTGAGCATCCTGTCCGAGCAAAGAGCAAGATCCCAATTCTGATTTTCTCCTGGAACCCGAGAGATCAGATTGGGAATTACCATTCTCCACTTCTTTGTAACAAAATCCACTGCCTATTGTCACACTGCTGCTTGTACCATTACCTTCATGGTGATTTGTTTTTGCTGAATATTTAGTTTGTATACTGCCATTTTCATTAACTAATCCAAATGATGAACTGTTGCCAATGCTGACCTCATCTTTTCTATTTCTGTTGGAGCCATTCTTGTTTATTGTCAAAGATACATCTTTCTCACTTCTCTTTATATGGTGTGAGTCTTTAATATTCCCATTCATGAGTAAGTTTTGACCCTTATGAGCGCCAAGTTTTCCATTAACAGCAGCAGGAACTCTTTTAAAATTAATATTTTGAGAAATATTAAATTTTGTCCGTTGGCTCGAAAGGACTTTTTCTATCCTAGAACCCCCTGATGTATCATTTGTTTTTGTGTTAACTTCTTTTGACCGCAGCCCAGCTTTCTGTGCTTTTGGTATCTCACTTCCACCATCAAAATGCTTAACTCCATTGGAAGCCAGTGCACTACCTGCAGACAATGGCCGCTGGTTGGCACGAGAGAAGAATAGAATGTAAACCTTCTCTGACAATACCTCCTCCTGGGTTGATAGAGATACATAAGAATCATTACAGCAATACCATCGTCCCATTGCATCCTGTATCCATCAGGAATCAAATATCAGGATATATTTAGCATAGCAGCTTTGCCAACCTCTTATATTAAAGAACTTGTTAGCATATCCATGAGATGTATGGGTTTATGCGAAATAATAGAATAATAATAATAAATATGATTTATTGATACTGTAATTTCTATTAGTAAAAACTGAATACTTTTGGAAACCTAAGAACAAACTTCCATAAATTAACTTGACATATAAACACATGGAAAATTGTTAGTAATATGCAAATAGCAACATACATGCAAATTTAGGCACACAGATGATCACATGGCTTCTTAGGTAAATTGCAACTGGCACATGGCTCCAGAAAAATACTAGTGCTACAGATTAATAAAAGGACAGTTGAAGAAGAACCTTTATATAAGCATAATAGTGCCCAGATTCCGGTGAGAATCCCGAGTGGACAATGGTACCAAAAAGGTTATATACTGGTTGTGGGTCCTGCACCAACACAAAGAAAGACAAATGCAGTGATGTTATAAGTGAATGCAGTTAGCAGCTCTGAAACAAAGTTTTGCTCCACAGATTTATAGTCATGAACAAAGTATTACATTTTTCATTCTTGCTACAACTACAAAGGAAAAACAAAAACATACTCTCGGCATATTCAAATAAAAAAAACACCATCAACAACTTTCACAGATAAAACAAGAAATAATATGTTAGCCATTAAACAACAGAAAGCAGAAACAACACCACCAAGGAAAGCAAACAACTCTCTAAATATCCAGTGAGTGTTGGGTGGCAAACTGAATAATATCTGCCATTCTAAAGCATTTATCTTCTGTAGCAATTATCTAAAATACTTTTGACAGGTCAATGTTCAAACAAAAGCCTGACCCATAATAAGGCTCTATCCTCATAATCTCATTAAGCACGGGAATTTGTAACAAGGCTTTCTTTTTTATAGAATTGTACTAGGACTTGGAAGCTGAAACTTCACATTGTTTGCTGGGCTCCGTGTAAATATGGAAAGGAATGAAAATCCAACAGTCAACCATACCCCCAAGTCCTAAACTAAGGAAAAATGAGAATATTTTAAATGAACAACCAACATCTTGAGGAGAAAAAAATACAATTAATGTGGCACTGTTATTATTAAACTCAAAAGGAAACATGAGAATACTTCGAAAAGGCAAGCAAGGTATTGAAAGAAAGAATGTCATCAATGTGATATGAATGTCACAGAACTGATGGCGGATCACTGGGTTCTGATATCCAGTAAGTAGCAATATGCATTTATCGCTTCATTACCATCATTATGGTTCAAGATTCTCCTTGATATTATGGTGCCCTGCGGCTTATGCAATCTGATCTATGATTTATAACCTTTTGGGTGTTAGTTGGGTGATGTCGGGTTCGGTTAGGAATGACATTTGGGTGTGGGAAGGTTTCTGTTAAAAAAAAGAGACTAATAAAATTGATCCCTTTGACTGTTTTTTGGGTTATTTGGAAGAAAAGAAATAGTAGGGTATTTGATGGGGTGGTTAGTGACTGGGCAAAGATTAAAAATAGATAGTTTCATCTCTTTGGATCCATTTATCTTGGGCAGAATTTGCATAGAGAGGAGGATTTTGGGTATATAATAGATAGCCCAACAGAAATGTAAATATTTTTGTATAAGGGTTGCACCCCCTTTTGGTGCTGTTTATTAATATATTTTCAATCTTGTTATTTTGAAAAAAAAACATTCACCTTGATATAGGTGGCAGTTTAGCCAAGACACTGATATTTTTGGGTTTAGTGCGCACGCAGAGCTTCAGTATAGTCTTAATTGTGCTTGAATTTAAAAATATTATCACCTAAGAGACAAAAAGAAAAAGATTGTAGGGGAGAAGAATAACAGATCCTGTTGGAATTTCGAATGTAGACATTAAAGAGTCTACTTCTTAAAAAATATAAGAAAATGTAGTAGCTCAAATGAGCTTCCACAGTCAACAGGATGAAAGACTTAGCAGTGATAGAGAAAAAGCAGCAGGATGAATACAGGTTCAAGGGTTCATATGGAACTGGTACAATCCTCACTGAACAGGTAGTGAAGCCCAGAGGGTCCGCTTCATCTTATTAATAAGGGGAACAAGAAACTTTGATGTTCTTCAGTTTCATCTTGGAAAGTGTGGTGGTGATGATGTAAGATTTCCTGCCCAACAGATTTGGAAAGTTAAGGCACCTCCAAGAATTGCTTTCTTTGTTTGGGAAGCTAGTCAGGAATGCATTCTAACCACCGACAAGCTGACGAGAACGGGTAAAATCATGGTTAATGTTTGCTACATGTGCATGAAAATGGCAGAATCTTGTAACCATATCCTTCTTTGGTGTCTAGTGGCTTATAATATTTGGACAATGGTTTATGGACTTCTGTGTATCAACTAGGTGATTAAGGAAAGGTTAGGGATGAACTTTGGACTTGGGTTGGAATTTGTAAGAAGTCAAAAATTGTAAATCTTATACCTTTAACCATTTTATGGGTGGTATGGAAATAGAGCTACAACAAAGTGTTTAAAGGTGTGTGGTGGATTTGTCTAGAATTAAAAATAGGTGGATTCATACTTTTGAGACTCTAATGCCGAGGCATGATCTCTATGGGTGGAATGATTTTGAGAAGGTAATTGATGTTCTAACTGAGTTTGCAAATACTGTGTTGGCACCCCATTGGTGCCTTATACATAATACACATTATTTTTATCTCAAAAAAAATCTAATAATAAGACTAGAACAAAACAAAGAATCAATCAAACACGGAATCAATGAAAACATAAAGAAACTCGTTTATTTGCATGAAGCTTTCCAGGGGGTCATTGACTTTTTACTTGAACTACTATTCTGCAAGGAATAAAATCCTCAGTTTGAGCTCAAAGAAAAAAAAGATTTTTGACTTTTATGGATCATCCAAATAAATTCAAAATTAGATGAAACAAATATCATGTAGTTATAACAGGTTTGTGTAGACAACGGATACTTTTGTCTTTTGCAGATCACAAAATCATTACAGGAAGGACACATTATAATTGTCCACATTCATGCACTATCTTTGGCAAAGTAGTTGCTTCTCGATCATTAAATACTTGCGGAAACAGCAATCTCAAATAGGAGCAATCTTTATGAAATTCGGAACATAAATAAACAAATATCATACCCACGATCTAGAATAATACCAAAAACTGAAAGCGAGAGATTTAAGAAAAGGAGAGAGATCTTTAAAGAGAATAGATACAATCCATTCACCTTCCGCTAAATATTAAGGTGTGCATTTTTTTTTTGTTGAGAAAATGTTATATCTTATATGATACAAAACGTGCCAGTTACAAACATTTCTGAAGGAATTCGCGAGTTACTAAAGCAAGCAATCATGATTACAAACTTTCAATATCACTAGCATAAACATGAGACATCATGCCAAATGAGGCGATTCAACTCAAAGAACAGTAGGCAAGACGAAATAAAGAATGCCAAGGAGAAACGGTTTTCTGATTCTCTATATTAATCCAAATCAGGTGAATCAGTAAAGGGTCTAGAATGCCAGATATAGTATCCATTTGTGCTGTACAGGTTCCAAAATTGTGTTACCATAACAAAATTCTAGAGGTTCTCCATGGATCCTTAAAGAAGCACCAATATTTCGATTCCCATTTTCTACGAGAAAGATGCTACCACAAGAATGACAAATATGCAGAAAAATGCTGAACTTCATATAGTTCTATTTACTGCAAAAGATAAGGACAATCGTAATAGCAGTCGACGTGGCACGCCTAATGGCAGTTACTTCTGAGAAATAATAGTTGACTTATAAGAGTTATTTTTCTTTTAATGATTATGAATTACGTAAAGTCCAAAAGTTTCAGACTATGAATAAGGAAAGTAAATGATCGACAATAAAAAATAATAATAATAATGAGCGTCATATAAAAGCTAAACAAAATGTAAGGTTATCGATTGTAGCAATCAAGATTCCTAACTATAAAGCCTATTAATATTGAACCTATCATATATTCAACACAAAGATGAGGGGTTAACTTCTCCAGCCTAAGTTCTTTCACAATAGTTCCTTTTCTTTTCAATAAAGAAAAAATATTAGTATGGAACTTTTATGTTGCGAGTAGTTCCACATGGTACTTCAATTTATGAGATTGATAAGCATGAGGCTCAATAAAAAAACACGAATTTCAGAAAAGGAAAAACAACACTGACAAGGGGACAAAAGGTCATTGGTTAACTCGTGATTCCCACCAGAATCCCATTATTGATACTACGGAACTTTATGTTGTTAGTAGTTCCTCATGGTACTTCAATTTATGAGATTGATCAAGCATGAGGCTCAATAAAAAAACACGAATTTCAGAAAAGGAAAAACAAAACTGACAAGGGGACAAAAGGTTATTGGTTAACCCGTGATTCCCACCAGAATCCCATTATTGATACTACGGAACTTTTATGCCGTTAGCAGTTCCTCATGGTACTTCAATTTATGAGATCGATCTAGCATTAAACTCAACAGAAACAAAAAATAAATAACTAAGTTCATCTTATTTGTACTGTCATACCTGGCTTGCTTTGGACATGACATTTGAAAGAACCAAAACTTCTTCGAATGCAATAACCTTATCGATCTTCCCGCCAAATATTCCTTCAAATCTCTGCCAACACAATCCAACAATTACTCATTTTCTCAAAATCAACAAATACCAACTCAAAGCAAGTACAACTCTTGATAACAACTTAAGAATTAAAATTAATGAAAATGGATAACACACCTTCAGTTGGATTACAAGGATATTAGGTGCTTGATGTATAGACATTTGCTTCCTTGCTTTCACCAACTTTTTGCAACTAAACAAGAAGAAGATTAACAAAAAACACAGAATTTCAATGGCAGTTGGTAAAGAATGAAACCAAAATATTAGTGAAAAGACTTACTTATCACATCTATACTTGTTGTTTCCATCTAAAATCTCTGGCTGAAAAAACTTTTGAATTGATTCCTGAAGGGAACTACTATGCATGATTTCTAGACTGATATCCATAATATCATCAACTTTATTGGACAAGGCACCGCAAGACAAGCACTCCACCTGGCTCTGCAATGCACCCCCAAAAATCTCCTTAACGACAGTGTTGTTGCCGTTGAAAGGCTCGGTGCCTTTGCGTCGCAACTTCTTGAGGCGAAGGCATGTGTTGTGGCAGGCATCGATTACATACCGCAGGAACTCATGGGCGTCCTCTTGACGCCCACACTTCAAGTGTTCGGCAAAAATCCTGAGGCAATTGACAATCTTGGCTGGGGAGTCGAGAGCGAGATCAACGCTTAGAGACCGCGCTATCCGTTTCTCCAGTATGCAAAAAGGACAGTCACGTTTCCGCTCCGCATCTGCAGCGGAATCGCCTGCGAAATGCGTTAAACCAGAAGGAAACCGAGAAACAAATTAAGAAACAAAACGCGAAAAAATCAGAAAGTAAAAAAGAAAGGCGAGCATTGAACTTTGAAGCAACGAATTTGTGATAAAAAGAAATTAGAACGAATGAAACAAAGCGAAGGAGATGAAAAGGCAGAACGTACAGAGAGAGGAGTGCTGGTTAGCGAGGCAGAAATTGGCGAGAGGAGGGGTATAAGTGAGGCACTGAAGGACGCTGTTGAGGTAGCAAGAGTTGCCGAGGTTTCTTAACCCTAGAGGGGGACCGTTCTTCCGCTTCTGACTGAGTAAACTCGGCTGCCAACTCATCTGCAGTTGCAGTCCCATCAAAGCTGCATGGACAATAATTCATTGCTCGGCAACGACGACGAGAACGGCGCCGTTGGGGTTCGACAGGCCCTCGACAAGGAGGATCGCATAGCTGTTGTGCTTCGCCGTGGTTGCCTGCTCGTTCTTCTCCTTTGTATATCCTTGAAATTGAATTATTGGACAGTCATTTTGGCATGAATGTTTTTGGGGTGGGGATTTAATTATGAGAGAAGCGAAGGGGCGAAAGAAGAAAGAAAGAAATGGGAGGAACAGGAAGATACTGCAGGAGCAGACCCACACCAGAGTAGCAAATCCCCAAATCCCTTCCTCTTTTTTTTCTTTTTTTTTTTTTTTTTCCCTTTTCTTTGGGACGAAATTTTGATTTTTGTTTTTAATTATTCACGGTCTATATATATATGTGTGTGTGTGTGTGTGTGTGGGTGGGTGGGTGGGTGGGGGGGGGGGGGGTGTAGAGAGAGAGAGAGAGAGAGAGTGAGAGTTTATGACATTCTTGTTTTATAAAATGAAATCCGATTTGGGTTTTAATCATATAAAAACCTAATACGTAAGTATTTTAACAATTAATTTGCTAAATTAACAGTTAATTTTTTTTCTAACTTAATTAAAGAGTTAAGAAGAACAGCACAAACATCTCAAAACCAAACATGATGGTTAATTCAATCTCAGCATTTTGCAATAACCTTTTTTCATTCAACTATCTCAATCTATATAACTCTTACTTGTCACCCTCAAATTTGCATCATCATTTTCTAATTATTACTTTTTCTAAGATTAAAAAACAAAAAATTAGATAAAATTTTTTTAATACTTTATAGTTATGAGAAACTAATTTTTACAAAATATCACTGAAACTTAAATATTGAACCCTACATCTTTATTGTTTATTTTATTTAAAAATATAATAAACTTATATAAAACTTAAATATTAAATTTTACAATTTTAATAAAATTTAAATTCATAATCTTCACATAAAATATAAAGATATTGACTACCATAACACAATGTTATTAATATATTAGTTTTTGGTAAATCCTAGCTCTTAAACTTGTTATTAATTTTCTCTGTTTTTATTTTTAAAAAAATAAAATTGAGCAATCCTGTTTAATTTAAAATAGGCTACTTTTGTTTTAATTTTCAATTTTTCATACTTTGTATCGTAATTCAACAGGTTCGAATATTAATCTTATGAGTAATATATATAAGGGGACCCTTTAAGCACATTCTATTGCATTTCAAATATTAATCTTATGGCAAAATGTTTGTTCATTTCTTTACAAAAGGGTTTAATCTACCCCAAAAAAAATATATATATATAAGGGAAAATAAGGAGTGTTTCTATAACTAAACTCCTCTCTTACAATGTTGGCATCAAAGGAAGTAAGCCACACAAAAATAAGCATCCCAATCTAATATTTGTTTTTAACTTTCCATATTATAAAATTTATAAAAAAAAAAAAAAAAAAAGCTTTAAGAAGTTTACGAGTCCATCTATTACATAAATATTACTTGGTTTTTATTTTCAAAATATGTTTTTTATTCACAAAAATATATATTTCCCAAAATACATCTTTTTCTTTCCTTCTCTATTGATTTTTTATTTATTTAAAATTTTGCCCAAACATAGCCATAGTATTCCTAATACCGGAGTTGAGCGGCTGAAAGATCAGTGAGTCATGAACGTTAATTATATACTTATACGATTCAACTAGTTTAAATCCTATTATCAGGCAACAACTCTCATATCCTCCTCTAATTCTTAGCATAATACTAAACATAACTACAATACTTTTCTACAAAACACCGAAAACAAATTCGCTAATTCAACCATATTTCGTATCATTATTCTCTTTATAATTAACTAACTTGTATAGGATTGAAGACTAAGGGTGACAATGTGCCAAGCCCCACATAACATTATTAGGATTCAATTCAATCAAAAGTCAGCTCTAATTCGGTTAAAATATAACTTCAAAAACCCAAATAAGTCAGGCTCAAATGGTATTGGATTTTTTGTTTCTTAACTACCCTACTTAAAAGTTGATAGCCTAGAGTAATCATAAACAACCAACTTCCAACTTCTAAAACTTCTTAGTTCCCTTTCAACCTGATCTTATTCCGCATTCCTGTTTTTATTATTCGATTCTACTTGTGATAGTCAGACACTCAAGCCTCTTGACGCGTCAATCCTATTCTATTTTAGGGTAATGGAACAATACTTTCATTGACAACAAACAGCCAACAGTACAAAAGTTGCCTCATAATTGATAAAGCACGAACGCAAAACAAGACTAGCAATAAATAGAACAGATAAGCCAGCATAAAACAGAGGAAAATTTTGTGAATCCTGAGGAAAACTCAGCCCCTCAAGAAACTACCCATCTGACTACAGGCCATTACGACCTCTCCTCTCCCATGCCCTACCTGTTAAAGCTAACCCCATTTCATGAAACCTTCTATTTTGCAACCATACCTTCAGGACTTAGAAAAATAGACCTGATTAGAAAAATAGACCTGATGGTTCAATTCTGTGCTATAATATAATGCCAACAGAAGTAAAGGCTTAACAGTCAAGTAGACCAGCTTCCAGAATTCATGTTGCACATTGTCACCATCAGATATACCTTGTATCCAAGTCAGTGAAGGGGATTTCAAATGTATCAGTTTCTATCGGAATAATTTCTTTCAAAACAATCATCTGTGTTCTACAGCACCTTGATATTAAATACGCCTTCCAGTAAATTTTTCTTTTTTCTGATGATACAATTGGGATTTTCCATCTTTACAAGTAACTTTCTCTACTTCACTGGCTAACTCAGCTCCACATTAGAACAAGAAAAAACATAAAACCCCAGTACAGAACCAGCTGCAATGACCAAGGTAAATAAATGTCTTATAAAAAAACAATTGATCAAACCGTTAATCAGGGCTTAGGATCTAGTTTTCAAGCAATGTAAATAAAAAACCACAATTAATTAAATTTATAATCACATACCTCATGTTATCTGTTAGGAGTTGCAGGTGGAACCAATGCTACAGATTCAGCATCTTGTGAGTCACTGGAGCCACCTCTAGTAGCTTCCTTTTTCAACTTGTGATTATTATATGCAGCTACACCAGCAATGGCTGCATATGGTTAAAACAAAGTAAGACAAATGCTGAAGCATATTAGGCAAGAATTTTTGCGTTAGTTATGGAGTTAGCATCTTATTATACTAAGAGTAGGTGATTAGCTCCAATAAAATGAAAGAAATGCCTCGAGGGAATAAGATCTAAGGTTAGTGATAAAATGAGAAACAATTCTTATAGAGATACATGAGCATCATAGTAAAGGTTATGAAATTAGTTCTAACTGTAAAATAGCAGACATACAAATTGATAGGACAAAACACTATTGATGAATTTTCAGGTACTTACCAATGGCATAACCAAACAGATTTATTACAGTCAGCTTTGTATCAGCAAACAGAATGGCAGACAGCAAGACAACCACCCAATCCTTGACAACTCCAGCAACTCGAATGGTGAGAGCACTTGTATGGGAGATAACAAGAAAAACCGATAAGTTGAGTGCAAAAGTACAAAGAGAATTGAGTGTTAACACAAGGGGTTGAAAGTTCCATGTCCCCTGTGCTTCCATTTTTGGTTTCTCTAAAAAGATCCATGGTATGAACAAGCAAATCGCACTGCAAAGTAAACAAAACTTCAGTTCATGCTCACATGAGTTCTGTTATGCAGAAGAGAAAAGAGATGCTTTCACAATTATCGTGGGTACATACCTGCAGGGGCTAATATAATACATTACAGATACAGGGTTTAATTTTAAACCCTTCCTCTTAACCAGAATCTCCATGAATATAAGTCTTAGAGCTTCTCCAACAACACCACCCATTTGGTAGACAACTCCAATCCAGCTGATATTGATTTCCCCATAAGAAGCCACCAGAACACCAAAACTTATCACAGACATTATCAAAAGCATTCTGCAGCTCATCATCTCAAGTCCAGCAGCTACTCCGAGAACAAAAACAGCTACTGGCACTGCAAGTCCACCAATAAATTCAGTAATATATCTCTTACTCAAGACATCTAATCTCTAGGAACATTAGAAGACAACGATAATTCTTTATTTTAAAACAAGAGAAGAGAAAAAAAAAAAAAAGAAAAAGGAAGAAAACCTCAATGTTTATATCTCCTCTCACTGACTAATCCAACACCACGATGAATGCCAATTAAAATACCTGGGTATCAGACATAAATCTAATGTCTGGCATACAAGAAAAGAAAAAGGAGAACACATACAAGATACTGAAACGATTTTCTGCAGGATCTAGAAATCTAGCTGAAAAGAAGAAAACTAAAACAGGAACTTACTAATGGCCTTCAACATTTGTGCAAACGCAACAGAAATATACAGATAGGCAGTGTTTCCAAGCCAGAGAGTCATCGCAAACATTGCACCAATAGACACTGATGTAGTATATCTGAGTACACAAATTTGGATTGACATCAGTA